ATCACAAACATCGAGACAGTCTAAAAAAATATGGAGTAATGTATATTGAACAATTACTAAATGCAGATATGACAAAAATATTAGAATTAAAACGGATCCATCAATATGAAATCCCAAAACATAATACAACCTGGTATATAGATCTCAGCAATAAAATAGAACAAAATTGGGAATATATAAAGAACTCGTCAAAAGCAAATCCCATTAACAGACTAACATTAATAAACAAATTTTCAAACTTAAAGGGGAAAATAATAACTACAGATCATACGCAAGGACCTATCATGGGAAAAATAACTCGCGAGCTCAAATCACGTGACCAAACTGTAGTGATGAGGCATATGATTCAAGAAACAACAGAACAGGAGACATTTTCGCCACTTAAAGCATGTGAAGGATGTCCGTTACAAGAATCACTCCCTACACTAGACACAAAAACTAAAGGATCAAATACCAAATACTGTGCAATTACTGCAGACGTTACAAAAGTTAGTTATTTACCAACTAGAAACTCACGTGTCTCAATTGGAAATCCAGAAGATAAAAGAATCAAAACCAGAATTGTAATATCTCCTCGCTCCCTACAACACTATCATGAAAATAATCCAAAGCCAGTTATTAAAAAACAATTTAAACATAATATAAATGATCACACATTCTTACAAAAAATCATTGATACAGATACACAAACGTTAGAAATGTTAGAAGAATATACTAGAAAATTACAAAGAAGCAAACAAATAATAGCATACACAGATGGATCCCTTATCACAGATGTGTCTTCAAATAGCTTAACCATAGAACTAAAAAAACAACGCATGGGCTTTGGGACAATATGTCTTGTGGAAAATCTCAACCTAGGAAGAATCGAATGGAAAGGAAAAGTGGAAGGTCCACCTTCATCAACAAGAGCTGAACTATGGGCTATTCTTTCAGTCCTATGGGTAATTCCTAACAAAACCTCGATAAAAATAATTACAGATAGTGAATCTTCAATTAAAGCAATCAAAGGATACACAGATGAGCGTAAGGGAAAACACTGGAGTAATTACAGTAATCCATTAATACTGCAAACAATCAAAGAATTAATATATACAAAAGAAATCAACTTAGAACTAGAAAAAATCAAAGCACATCAAGGGGATTACAACAATGAAAGAGCAGATGAATTAGCAAAACTCGGATCAAACTCAGGATCTATTTTTTCAATAAATTCCAAATATTTACGAGAGCAACAATTTAGACATAAATGGAATGATAACAATATTGATGTGTCAGTTAAAGAACTTGTTAAAACAAAAGGAGAAATTGAATCAACCATTTCCTGGTTTACACAACACCGAATATATAAATGGCTAAACAAAAACATAAGGAAAGAAACAAATTGGAAATGGTCACAAGAGGTGTGGCAAAATTCCAAAATCACTGACAACAAAACTTCAACTAGAGATAACTCACTTCGCTCTTTCTCAATAAAATTACTAAATGAGGAACTCCCAACAATGAAAGTATTACATACAAGAAAACCTGAGATATATAAAGATAAGAAATGTCCTTTCTGTAATATATATGATGAAACCAATACACATGTTTTCATGTGCAAAAATACTCCAAACACCTTAAAAAATACTTTCTGTTATATTCTAAAAAAAGTATTTACACAAGAAACAGGAAAGAAAACTGATCCAAATATGTTAAAGAAAATATACAATAGCCACTTTCTTCAAGTAGATATAGGAAGACAAATAAGAGACACCCTCCCTGTTGACCGGTTTGCATATAATGATTTAGTTAAAGGATTAATCCCTCGATCAATATATAATATAGTGAAAAACTACATAAATCAAGCTGCAATAACGAAAACGGTCATACTCAAAACATTTTACAAATGGAAAGAAATACTTCGGTCCACTTGGATAATGAGATGTAAGGAATTTTTAAAATGGGAAATATCAAATGAAATCAATGAAATAAAAAAGAAAAGTAAAGGGAAAAGACCATTTGATGACTTTGAATATTTAGAACTTAAAAAACAATTAGTACAATGGGGAAAGAAAATATCTATAGAGGTTATTGATAGAAGTTACAAATACAATTCAGACATTTTAAATAATATATTCTTTTGTATCGACGTAGGTGGGGTTGAAACCTATCAGTAAGAAAGGAAACTTTCTTACGGTGGCAGGTTAGGCCGTAGTTAGTTAATTAGCAACCTAACATGTTAAGTAGCTTTTAACGTATATACTTGTATATGACTTAGTCAGATTTTATTCTTCATGTATTTCTTTATTGAATTATTATTAATGAATAAAGTCGAGACCTCACCGGTCCAATTAAATTACAAAATATTGATTAGTTTTATCAAAGCGTGGAACTACATGAATTATATCTTCAATCACTTCTATTTCTATAAAATTGTACAACTTTGACAATTTCAACAAAGGACAGCCATAAACAAATGGTATATTTTTAGAC